TATTTTGGATTTTGTCTATAGTTTGATTAGACCTTTCATTTGGGATGCCTAAATCGAAAATCAAAATTTTCTCGGCGGCCGGGTCCAAATAAAAGTGCTAAGTGCTCTCACGGACCTCTCTTAAGTACTCTTGAGAAGTTTTGTTTATATATATAGTTTTCATAAGTTTTCGATTCATTTGAAATTTGTCGATTTTTATCATCATTAAAAGTTAGACAAAGATTGAGAATATAGTTTTAAGGAGTAACATCTAATTTATCACCCAGAATTTATTTATTTTAGTTGATATGATTATTAAAAAATGTTGTATTGAAAAACAAGTTAGAATAATTTTGTTAGGTCTGTTTTTTTAAATTCTGTCGTTCGTCTATAAGAAAACGAGATCTTAACACAATTTAACGTTGAATATAGTAAAACACGTCCGATAAAATTATTTTCATATTTAGTATGTTTTCTAGTAATACATTCTTTTCTAATAACAGTTGTTGAATAAATACATTTCAAGTGAGACCTTTGACAATAATCTTGAATATATGACCAACTTTAAGGAGTCGTAAGCCTAAACAAGGAAGTATACATATGTAACGCTATCTGTATCTATATTTTCTTATTATACATTTTCATCGTACGTTTATTTTGCTTCAGATAATTGCATCGTTTATTCTTACCGTCTATCAATTCATTATTATTCACTTTCGGATTTCAGCGATCACACGTGCGCTTTAATTCAGGTACAAGGTTTCGTATGATTCTAAGCTGTTAGCACTTTTCTCAGTTGCGTGAGACTCAATGAAAGTGTATATCCTATTCAAAAATAACTTTTCAGACATTCACTTAAAATACTGTAAAGTAAATTTCAGGTGATCAATCCTGTCAAACTATTCTCTATGTCGCAACATATAAATAATCATACTAGAAGTTTGAATTTCCGCACTGAAATAATATCCCTCTGCTAAAATAAGCATAAATCTTTGTGCAAACAAATATCGAATTCTAATTTTCGATGAAGCTCATATCTTACTCCGTCTCTGGGTTCCACCACCTCTGAAGTCCTCTACTCGCTTATTTCTATATTTAAATGAATTTGTTGTTAATTTTCTAACTAGTAGAAAATGTAAATTTAAATTTATAGATTTTTCGAATATTATATTTTCAAAAAAGTAGAAATTCGTCATCGAATTCGTATGAACATTCTTAGAATATTCGTTTCTCTTCTGTATAATTTATCTTCTAGTACACAGTGAAAAGTCATGGGCAGCTCATTTAGCAAAGATGGAGCGGCTACAAAATTTTTTGAAAAGGTACCGGTGGTAGGTTACGGTGTGTCAGCCGTTCATGCAGCTGCTGGCAATCAAGAACATGCAAAACGAGCAGCTGCTAACGCCACCAATTCTACATTGACAACGGCTGGAGCGATAGCTGGAGGAATTGTGGGTGGGCCTGCTGGCGCGATGGCCGGAGCTGCTGCTGGCAATGCAGTCGGCATTGGTGCGGAACACGGAATTAGCAAACATATCAATGATCCAGAAGTTCGAAAACAAGTTGGTGACGTGTCTGCCCAACGATTCGTAACTGATTTAGGATTTTCAGCAATTGGAAGCGGGATGGGCTCTGTTGGAAGTACGGCTGCCAAAGAAGCGATGCGCGAGGCAGGAGTTGAGGGACTGAAACACGCAGCTGGAGCGTTTGCTGCAGGACAAGTAACTGGTGGGACGTTTGCTGCAGCACCAAAAACTTTGGCTGACCAAGCAAGGCAGCAACAAAAAGAAAACCAATCTGAGTTCAAAAAGGTAAGCGTGCTTCATGTGTCAATCTATTTTATTCAGTAAGAAATAGCGATTGGCCTCTCAGCACTTCTAATTTCCTGAACTTTTTCTTAATTTTCAAAATCGTTCTGAATCAATGATGATTTCCCTGTTTTTTGGTGCTTTTCAAAACTAAGACATTTTCCTTGGAAATTTCAGTTTAACTTAGGTCGCGGGCTCGACAAATTTTGTCTTGAACTAATGATGATACTGGTTTTCACTAAACTACACTCTTCATCTTATTTGATTAATAGATAAAGTTTTTTATGAATTGAAAAATGATGGTAAATATATAGAGAAAATTCACTTGCTATAAGATTCCCAGAAGATCTCATATTGTGATCGAATAAGAAAAGAGAAGAATCAGCAAAAACAAGTTTGGTTTAGAAGATAAAGGTCCGGTGAATCATCGATTTTCGCCAGTTCAATATCTATCGACACATTTCAACATATCTTCAGATTGAATTGTATTTATAGAGACTGTTCGCGAAACCGTTCCTCAAAATTTACTGAGTTTCGTTGGTAGCTATCCAATCAAAATTGTTTATAAAATCTAGTGTTTCATTTCTTTGAATCAAATAATACAAAAATATTTCAGAATCTTTTCCAACTATTCATAATGCAAATATATAGTTATCCACTGGCTACTCAAAAAACTAAAGCAAACACATTTGATTTAGTTTCATTCTAGACGTCTTCTATGAAACATTATTTAAGAATCAAAATCCGCGATTCTGAGTGGTTGTAAGTGATTGGTGATGGTTTAGAGCAGTTTAAATTAATTGTTTCTTCTTGAAGGTAGCTAGATCTAGATAAACCCCCCCCCAGAATAAAAGGCCATGGCCTTCTATTATGGAAATTCACATCGCTCTTTTCAGGGTGGCCTTCTATTAGGGGTGGCCTTCTAATAGGACTTTTGTGGTAAAAAATTACAATTTTTTTTTGTTAGTTGCTGATTCTGTTTTTCTAGCTCGACAACTGAAAATTGAAATTTGTTTAGACTTTTTGAGCTAATGCTATCTGTAAACCATCTCCAGTGACCGACGTACAAACTGATGTTTTCTTTTTCATTACATATTACCCATGTAGCCAATTTTATGAAATAATGGACATTGCAATGCATTATTTTACAATAGAAATGCAATGGATGCAATTACATGATAATGCAACCTATTTCATGCATTATAATGCATTATTTTTAATTAATCCATTGCAATACATTGATTTATCAACGCATCATAATGCATTTTTTTTTATAATAATGCATTACAATGCATTGAAAATTTAGGCATTATCCTTCATTTTCAGCATTATTAGAAATAATGCATTGAAATGCATTGAAAAGTCAAAAAATAATTAATTATAATGCATTAATTCATGTTTTTTCTTCAAATAATGGAAAATAATGGATCATTTTCCATTATTCATCCATTATCGGCTACATGGGTATTATATTTAATCAACAAATATTAGTATACCTATCCGATGTCTGGCACCACAAATACTTCAAAGAACAAAAAATTTTTTATATGTATTCAAAAGATATGTAATCGTACCAAAGCAAAAGAATTGAAGCGATCAAATAGGCATATTAAACTTTGTTTTGTTTTGACAGCTTTTGGAAATTGAACATACCTCTTTAAATTTATAGCAAAACCAAACAGGAGTGCGGTGGAGATCATACATGATCTCTCAAAATGCTAAGATATTTATAAAACTAGCACAGAATATTTATGTAATATCCAAACAATTCATTAGAAAGCCATGGCCTTCTAATGTGACTTTTGCAAATATGACTCAGGGGTGGCCTTCTAATGGGGGTGGCCTTCTATTCTGGGGTGGCCTTCTATTCTGGGGGGGAGTTTAGGTGTGAAGATAAGGGTAAATAAGTACTAGCGGGAAGAGCAAAGAGATAAATATCACTGTTATTCACACCACTTAGTAGAAATTTAATGTATAATCGAAAGTTCACTATTTTGTGGAACTCACATATATTTTCCAAGAAAATAGTGAGTATAAGTTTTAAGGTCAAGTTTTCGTGGTTCTCCCTCCCCCCTCTCCATTACTGACAGTTAGCAACGTAGGCCCCCATTACAGACCTTAGCAACCAACAATAAAAGGTATCAGATTTTCAAGTGTTTTTTTTTGGAAAATTGATCAAGTTATAATTTTGAAAAATAATGAATATCATTATTTGTGAGTTGATTAATATATATGCTATTGCATAAGGTATGCTGTAGATATCATGAATTTGTAAAATAGACTTATTTGTCAATCAGTTCCATAATTATAATAATAAGAATGTTAAATTAAGAAAAACCAATTTAAAAAAATGAAAAATAATGAGTGAATAGCAACAATGCAAACAAAAAATAGGGCGCTCGTAGAGAAAAATGAAAAAATTCTGTTCGAAATGGAGAAATTAGGGAAGTCATTATTCTAGACATCGATCACCCTGCAAGATAGCTATAGTCTACTAGAGATTTAATCACTTTACGTATTTTGCATTAGTTTAATGAGGCTAGAGTGTTTATGTGAGTTCCGCATTTCAGCCCCAAAGGGGCTGCGCTAACAAGCTTGTTTAAATTGATTAACGTCAAAACATAAAAATCTTGTCTCTGCAACGTATCCTAAAAGCAGCAAAATTCAGGATCTTGATTGAGCTCTCTAAACCCTGGCTCACATGGAAAGATTGCTAAGTCCTTCAGTTGACCAGTCTTTCAGCAGTTCTTCATGAAACAAACTGTTCATCACGAAATCTGAAGACATATAAATTACTTTTCATGGTTTACATTTACAGGAAGCCATTCCAGTGGCAATGGGGAGTGCCATGCTCGACGTGTCACAACTGGAAGAACAGCAACAAGATCAATCCATCAATACGGCTGATCTGCAACGGTTGCGGGAGATTCAAGATGAAGTACGCGAATTGCACAAAACTATTCGGGATGCCGAGATGGAACTTGAACAACTTGATCGTCAAATTGAAACGCTGCGCGAAGAACAGCAAAAAGCTGAGCAGGAGTTGAACGAGCTCATCACTGAACTCCAGCAGCTCACGCAACAAGTTCAACGCATTCAAGAAGAACTACAAAAGTTGCGAGAAGCCGAACATCGACTTGCTGTCGAACGTGATCAGCTTCAAGCGACTCTCACTCAACATCAACAAGCACTCGAACAGGAAAAGATGAAAGTGCGCGAAATCGAAAATCAAATGCAAATACTAGAAAACGAAAAACGACTCATCGAACAACAACGACAAGAACTCGCCGAAGCGCTGCGCACCGCAGAGAACGAACAGCAAGAGATCAATCAACAAATAGCTAAGCTTGAATCCGAACAAGCACAACTCGAACAACAGATCAATGCACTTCGCCAAGAGCTCGCTCAACTTCAACAAACAATCCAACAACTCACTCAACAAATCCAACAAGCTCAACAAGAAATCGCTCGAATTGAGCAAGAGATCGCCGAACAAACGGCCAAAGCGCAAGAGTTAGAAGCAGCTATACAACAAATCGAAGCCGAAGTAGCTCGTATTCAAGAAAATATTCGACATGTCGAACAACTTCTTGCCGAAAAGGACGTACAACAGAAGGATATTGAACAGGAAATTCAGCAAAAGACTGAAGAAAAACAAACGGTCGAAAAGGAATTGCAAGCAGCCGAAGAAGCGCTCAGAACATTGCAAACTGAATTAGAAACAGTCAAAGCTGAACTAGCAAATCAGCAAGAAAAACTGGCTGAGGCCCAAAGACAAGTAGCCGAATGTGAAGCAAAAGTGCAGCAAGCCGAACAAGAACTTACTCATGCCAAGTCAGTAAAAACGTTGATAAAACCGTTCACATTTGTATAAACTTATTCTGAACTAAGCCAATAGTTTCTTTCTCCTTTTGACTAGAGAAAGAGACAAGACAGAGATAGAGACAAAGGGAATTCCCCTATCGTCAAGCTCTTTTCATTCGACTGGAACAAGCCTTTTTCGCGCCAAAGGTCGCCTAGTTTTGTAATAGCAGAAAAACTAACGAATACTTCCTTCTTCCTTCGCTTTCAAAGAATTTTTTGCTATTGTTCCTGTTTCCTGATCGGAAAATACTACAGTAAAACGGTCAATGCTGGAAAAATCCGGTGATTTTATGAAAGCAGTATTCTAGATTGGAAATTGTCGAAATTATTTTTGCTGCCTTTTCTACCATACCCAACAGTTTCTGACACGGTTCCTATCTACGATTCTCGCACTAATGTAAAAGTAACACCAAAAACTGATTTCAATCGATCCTTTCTGACTCACAAGCAAAGTAAAAGGACAGTCTTTTGATTTGATTTTAATCTGATTTGAAAACGAAAAGAAAATGGTCTTAATCAGTTTTATATGATTTCAAATTGGATCAAAATCGAACTAAACTAAGCCCATTCTAATTGATTTTAATTGCACAAACAATTCATGATTATCGAATGATCTAAAATAATTGATTTTAACTGATTTCTTCTTTGGGCACAATCGATCTTAGTTCTTTTTTTTGATCTTCTTTCGTCAAGTTCAAACTATCTATACTTCCCTACAATAGGAGTTTCGAACTTTGGTCTACACTCTATACAAAAAAACCATGGTCAGTATTGATTCTAAGTATAGTTATTGATAGGTTTGACAGCTAAGCCTCATTTAACTATCTTCTGAATAGGACTATTTTATACTTTATTTTCCAGACAAGCCGTCGAACAAGCTGAACAGGAAGTCACACGTGCGAAAGAAGAAGTCGAAAAGATTACCCAAAATCTTCAGGCCAAGCAGCAAGAACTGACCGAAGCTACGAATGAAAAAAATCGTCTCGATCAATTGCTCGCTGAAAAAGAAAAGGAACTTCAGCAGCTCATCGAAAATACACAACGGCTGGAGCAGGAAGTGACCAATTGCAAAACAGAACTCGATGCTGCTATTCAATTGCTTAATCAAAACATCGAAACACTTCGGAAAGAAGAGGAAGCTGAACTTCAGAAGCAAAAAGAGGTCGAAGATCAAGAAAATGCGTTGAACGAAGCACAGAATGAGGCTGATAAGGCTGAACAAGAAGAAAACCAAACAAAACGAGAATATGATGAAGCCATGCGTGAAGAACAAAATGCTCGAAACCAATTGGAAGAGGCTAAAATAATACTCCAAAAAGCCGAAGCTGTATTAAAAGCAGCTCAGACAGCTGCCGAAGCGGCTGATATTCTCAATAACATGAAGATCGATAGTAATGCAACGGCGAATGTTGGTGCCGCTGAAGCAGCTGTAACGCAGGCTCGAACATCACTCGGTGACAAGGAAGGCAACTTATCGAATGCAACCGCCAAGCGAGAAAACACATATACTTCGTATCAAACAGCTATTTCGAAGAATAGTGCTGCTAAGGCGAAACTAGCTACCAAGAAGAGCGAATTGGAAACGAAGCGAAACGAATTGAAACAGCAAATCGAAGTCAAACATAGCGCCAAACAACAGGTAGAACAACAACAAGACATTGTCAAAGATCTTACAACCAAACATACGGATCTCACTACAAAACTCGCAACGGCCAAGGATGAACAAACGGCCAAGACAAATGATGTTAATGATCATCGAGCTCAAGTACAAAAACAGGTAGATCGACTGCAAACGCTTAATGGCGAGTTGGAAACAATAAAAGATCAGCTTAACAACGCTCAACAGAATCTGACCAAGGCAGAACAAGTAAGAACTGAAACAACAGAAAAAATGCAAGCAGCTGAAGGTAAAGTTACGACGATGAAAGCAGAATTGGATGGAAAGAACGCAGCATATCGTGAGGCAGAATCCGCAGTTAAACAAAAAGAACAAGAAGTCGAGAAGAAACAAAATGAGCTCACCGCTCAACAGACAACTGTCTCAACTGCTAAACAGCGCATAGCAACTTTGGAGTCAGAATTGGCTCAACGAACAATGAAGAAAGACGAACTAGACAGAGAAAAGAAAGAGCAGCAGAATCGATTGACTGCTGAACAAGGTCAATGTGAAAAACTCAAAGCCGAACAACAACAGATCAAATCGAAGCTTGAAGCAGCTCAGCAGCAAAAGCAACAATTGAGCAAACAGCAACAAGACTTCCAACGACAATTAGAAAGCCAACAAGAAACTATGAACAGAAAGAATACTGAGATACAGAATACCGAAGGAAAAATGCAACAGAAACATCAAGAACTTGCAAAGAAGAATCAGGAGCGTGATCAGCATAAAGCTCAAGTCCAGCAGGTCAAAGAAAAGATTATGAAGAATGGAAGAGATTTACAAGAAAAAGACACTGCTATTGGACAAATGAGAAGAAAAGCACAAGAACAGACAAATGCCAAACAGGTGAGTATCGATTGCTTCGTAAAAGGATTCAAACACTCAAAACTAGATGATCTCATTCTAACAATGCCTATTGAACTGAAACCATATCTGAGCGAGCTGCATCTTTCTATTCCGTACTAAGTTTTATGAGATTGGTCTTTGTGCAGCAAAACGCGAGTCAATATCTGTTTCCATTCTTTGTAAGATATTGAACAATTACCTAGATACTGGAAGTATCAATTCAATCAGGATTGATCGTTTTGTTTCTATTGAAGATTCCTGAAAGAGTGCATCAAAATCAAAGAGTCTCTAGTTTATTAAAAGTAGAAGTATATTCTCCTGTAATTTTGACAGTGTTGGAGAAAGAGTTTCACTAATTTTTCAGATGATAATCAACTTCTACCTGATGTCTCTTTCGTATTTCAGGCAGCCGAACGTCAAGTTAACGAAAGTCAACAGCGGCTTAGAGCTATCCAAGATCGGTTTAAAAATATTTCCGAGCAACTAACCGATAAGCAACGAACGTACGATGAACAGAATCAAAAGCAGACTCAGTTGAACAGTAATGTCGAAGAACGAAGATCAAACAAGGAACGTCTAGCAACACAAGCAAACGATACTCACAATCAATGGATGTCAAAACGATTATGGATTTCTGGAGCGGCTGGACATTTGACTACTTTGACACATGAGATCGATTCAATCCGAGAGAAGAATATGACTGAAATTCAAAACAATATGAATCGACAACAGCATCATCGCGGTGATCACATGCTCAACAACAGCAACAACGCGAATCATCGTCGACAGCAGTACCTCCGCAACTAGACAGTTTGTTTTTAATAACATTGCCTTATTCAAGATAAACTCTTGTAAAAAAGACGCAGATTCTTGAGAGTGTGAGTAGAAAGTAAAATTATCAAGAGCTGTACAGTTAGAGATCGTTTTATTTATCCATGAAAACATATGTTAATTCAATAAATGTGTGTACAAAGATTTGTTTCAATAAACAGTTGAAAACAGATCAACCTATATCTTTATAAATAATATAAATCAATCCGCTACTTTCAACTTTTGCTTTTCAGCAACCAACTAAGTCAAATTAAATTTTTTTTATAATTTTGATAATGTGCTTGAATTAAATTTAATAAGAAATAATGCAGATTTTATTTAACGCTGACGCATTTCATGTTTATTTATTAAAATATCGAACCACTCTTCAGGGCAATGCATTACAATATAAAGCAGGGTGTAGGTGGGTGTGGGTGTGGATGTGGGTGTGCGTGTTGAGTGTGGATGTGGGTGTTGGGTGTGGATGTGGGTGTCGACGTGTAGAAAATGGAATAGACATTCCAACATCCACACTCCCCCACGTCCACACCCACACCCACACACCCACACCCACACCCACATCTACACCCACACCCACCCACACTCACACCCACACCCACACCGACCCACACTCACACCCACACCGACATCCACATCTACACCCACACCCACCCACACTCACACCCACATCTACACCCACACCCACACCCACACCCACACCCACACCCCACACCCACACCCCACCA